CAATCCCTCCCTCTGAAAGCCTTGACCCTACTCACTTGCCTCATATGAAGCTTCCTGACCACATCTCATTGCCTCAGGAAGCACCTGCAAGTCATTAGTGTCCTCTCAGTTGGAAAGACACATCTATTATTTCAAACTTCCTGCCTGTTGTGTTTCTACTGGTATATTCATCCTGAGTTACCAACAGGTTCTTGGAGCTTTATGTAAAGGTAACCAGCAAATGACAATACTGTTAAAGCAGCTCAGGCCAAGGCATGCCTGGCAGCCAGGTACAACAGCAACAGTTGGTTTAAAGGGGAAAAAAAAAGGGATCTGGTACCTGCTGCAATAATGATATATGGGTCCTTCAAAAGTGTCAGTAGTGGTGTCCCCTTCTGACTCTGTGAAACAAAAGCTTAGGATTAGGAAAGGAAAAGTGCCACTCATTGCCTACAGCATTTTATCTTTATACTTACTTCTGCTTGTGTTCTGGATGGCTGCAGAACAAGCAACTGAACAGCTGCAGAAAGAAATCAGCACTGTAACATTTCTTAAGGTTTCTCCCAGAAGGGGAATGGATGGATGGTAGGAATATAGAAGGGATGTGCTACATGGTGATAGTGACTCTTTGGTTCTACTGACCTCCATCAAACAGAGCCAGTGCTGCCAGCACCAGGAAAGGAGAACTCTTCCCCACAAACTCATACATGACGCTCCCAAAAGGTGGACCCACTGCCAGGAGGAAAGCAAGGACACAGCTGTGAATACACCTCTGACTGAAAAACACCCCCTGCAACAGTTCGGGCATTCTGCTATTGGCATTCAGTGACCAAAAAGCTCAATTTAAAACTCCCCACAAAGATAACTGATCATGAAAATAACTCCCCAAAATACTCTTCCCTATAAACAAAACCCAAGCATCTCAGAGATTACTGCTTGATATGTATCCATGTAGGGATAACGCTGTGGGAGAAGCTGTTCTTAATATGCACCACAAATCTAATCTGGAGACTGCACAATGACATTACACTTGCTGAGACTTTTCTGCTGCTTTCAGGGCAGCACATGCTTTGGGGGAGCTGGGGGATGGTTTCTCTTGGCAGCAGAGACTCCAACTCACCGACCTAATACTCCCATAGCAAGGCCTCCTAGTGCAATTCCCATTGCGTTGCCTCTCTCTTCATCATCTGTATATACAGTGGCAAGCAAACCCATCCCTAAAATGAAAAAAAAATAAAGAAAGGAAACAAGTACAACACAAAATTAGGCATCAGTGTACTACAGTTTATGGTCATTATTTGCCACACCTACTAAACATTGTACAGAAATGACAGCAAGTACCTGTGTGTATATACATATATATATATATATTTATGAGATAAATACATATAATCCCTCTCCATATAATTAACTTTGAAGCAAAAAGGGATTGGGAAACGTATGTGGTCTTCAATACCATGTACCATTGTACAGTATTAGCTAATTTAATGATGCCCTCATTTGCTAGATTCTTTGTCCCTGAGCTTTTAGATGATGCTTTTCAACTAGCAGAAACGAAGCTTTTGACAAGTATTGAGTTGGATGCTTTATTCACACTCTGAGTGCAGGACACAAAAGGTCTGGTGACCACTCAGCTGTAATTGTGGTCAGTGCTACCTATGCTCTGGACATGAGCTATTATACAGAGCTGATTACTTTGTAAATGAGCATTTCAAGTTCAGCATCCACAATGAAAGGATTCTTTTGACCTTTATCTTCACATGCCTCACTTCTGCACTCGATTATGAAACTTCATTTCACAAAAGGAAACATGAAGCCTAATTCATCTGTGTGGTTGTGAAGCACTCAGACACTGTAGATGTAAATATTGCACAACAGTCCTCATAGAAATTAATAATTCTGTTTTCAAATCAAGGTTTAAGTAGGACTCAGTAAATAAGGCCCATGGCTACACAGAAAGAGAAAACAAAGCATTGCATGGTTGAGCATTAAGTGAATACTTTCCAACATGTGCATCAAAAGAGCAGAGGTCCTGTGTGGATTATCATGGCCATTGAAAATTGTGTATGACATCAAATTGTTTGCATGAACAGCTGGAGATTTAGTTAGAGAACTGTGTTAGAATGTGAGATTTGGGGAAATATTCTGGGAAAAATTAGTAGGGGGCAATGCAAAGAAGATGACACAAAGTTTTACACACGGGTAGGAATGATAGCACACACAAATGCAGGGGAGTAAATGAACAATTGGCAGCGATAGTACACAAAACTGCCTGGGAGAGACATGAAGTGACTCTCACTGCTGTTGGACCCTGCAAGGAGTCCCAGCTTCTTCCCAGTGCTGGGTCTGATACAGCACAGGAAGAAAGGTGAGTGCACGTGGAGACCATCCAGAGAATGGCAACAAGGGTGAGCAAGAGCTTAGAAAAATATCTGTGAGAGACAACTGCAAGACTTTCAATTTAAAACCAGAGAGAGGAAAACTGATGTGAGATATGATAATAGTCTTGCAATATCAAGAAGAGCCAGAAAGATAAAGAAAAGAAACTGTTCTCCATGTTCTCTGAAGTATGGGAAGCAGAAATAGGTTCACAGGGCAGTAAGAAGCCTTTAGATGAGACATCAGAAAAAGCTTCCTGACCGTAAAGGTACTTAAGCACAAGTGACAAGGGCATTTCAGGAGGCTTCTGAGATCATGCCTGTCAAGTGTGCATGAGGAATGACAGATCCAAAGCTGATTCTGCCTTCAGGACGTGGGTGGACTAGATGGTCTCTTGGCTTTTTCTGCTCTATTTTGTAGGTTTCCCAGGTCGAGTGTTTTCTGGGGTGCTGCATGGCCCCAGCTGCCCCAAACGGTGCTGCCCAGACATGGGCTGGAGCTAAATCCCTACAAATGGAACCTAGGAGGAATTCAGCTACCAAATTCTTGTGAAGTTTCTGTGGAGTTTTTGTGAACCTTGGTTATATCTGGTCTGAGTTGGAAGGGGGAATTTTCCTGAGTAAGCCATAAGACATGTTGATTAAACACTATATTCACCTCCTTCCCAAGCCAAATTTCTATTGCTACTGCCATTAGAGGAAATTTTTCCAAGACTGAAATATTCAACATGAACAAAACATATTGTCTCCAGTCTCAATCTCAAAAAATAATTTAATAATTTAGGCTGAAAACCCATACTCCATTCCATTCCATTTAAAAATTATAACCTTATATTGGAAATCTGGTACAGGTAAAGTGAGTCCAAACTGGCAGCCAGCATGGAAAATCCTTAAAAACAACATTTTGGAAAAGAAATTTCAGTAACAGACAGAGCTGATATTCCAACTGTAATAAGTACCAACATAAGTTGCCAATGACCTTTAAAATGGCTAAAAATGAATTTAAAATGCTGAAGACACAGGTGCAGAAATCCCAGGGAGAGTGCAGTTCATTTAGTGCTCTACCTTGCAGCAACCCAAATACCAGAGAAGTCTGAAAAGACATTTGCTTTTGAGCTACTTTATATGAAAGGGACAGAAAAAAAATGTGAAATTGATTTAATTGAATTTTTCTGTGTTAATTATCAAAAGTGCAGGCAAAATACATTTCAGAAAATGACTGTAAGTGATCTGAATTTTACTCCATTGTCTCTTACCTGCCACGGAAGAACAGGAGGAACCCACTCCTTGAAGGGACCTGGCAATAAACAGCAATGCATAGCTTCCAGAGAAGGCAAACACTACAGAAAAAAAAAACAAAGGTACATTGTTTAAAATTAGGTTAACTCTAACTAGGTTAAAAAGTTAGACTTCTTGAACCATCACAAAAACTCCCAACAATTTAGTCAAGTGTTTATAGTGACTTGTGCCACTTTCAATGCTAACTACATTATTTTCTCTTATTGCATTTAGAGGTGGCAGTGTTGAATTGCTCTCAGGTGTCTAAGCCTCCAGGTAACACAGAATGCAAGCACCAAAGCAGTTTTAACTAATTACTCATGATTTGATTACGTCCTGCTCTGATTCAGCTGCGCACAGAAGGAGTAATAAGACTTTTCCTTCCAGCCTTGCCTCTCCATGCTGCTTCATTTAAGGCTGCCCAGTCTGGAGCTCCAGGCATTCAGGGCAGGCAGGATGCTACACACATCGTCCCAGAAACCCAAGAACACCTCTGCTTGTAGACCCACCTGTCATGGTCAGTGTCATTAAATCTACAAGGAGATTTTAAAGCTACTTTTCAGCTCTCATCTGTTAGCCACCTAAGGAATTTTGCCAGATGGGTTATAGTTGCAGGAAGCTGTTATGCAGAAACTAAACACAAGATCCACATGCAGATCTCCCACTTGCCCTGAGGGATTGTCCCTCTTGGGCTTTTCATAAAGCCTCTACAAAAATTCCTACTATGTGGATGGAGAAAAATGAAGAAAAATAAAGGAACAAAGGATGGCAGCAGATCAGCAGTTCTCTGCCATGAATTAGGATCACTACTCTTATCTACATCCCAACCAAAGTTTATCTAACATGTTCTTAAAATGCAGAGTTTGCAATGACTCTAAGACCAGGTCCTCTTGTCTAACACTTCAGTTCTCTTGATGATACAGGTTTAAGATCACAGAATCATAGAATCACGGAATGGTTTGGGTTGGAAGGGACCTTAAAGATCATCTTTTTCCAACCCACCTGCCATGGGCAGGGACACCTCCCACCAGACCAGGTTGTTCAAAGCCCCATCCAACCTGGCCTTGAACATACCCAGGGATGGGGCAACCTCAGCTTCTCTGGACAACCTATTATTATTCCTTCTCTTATGTACAGTGGACATGGAAAACTGTTTGTTCCCTTCCTTTTTTGTCATAGACTCTAATACATCTTGCATCTGTCTTCTGAGGCAAAAAACAGTCTTTCACCCTTCCTCACAGGCTTCTCATGATCTCTGATGTTCTCTGTACTCTTTCAGTCTGGGCCACAGCTTTAAATGCCAGGCCAAAACCAAACATAAAACAGCAGCTGAAGCCTTATCAATGCTATTAGAGCAGACAAATTATCTCAGCTGACTTGCAGGCTGTGCTCCTGTTTGCACATCCCACAGTGATGTTTAGCAACGCTGTGATACTGTTGACTCACACTCTACTCATGAGCCACTGCAGCCTCACAATCTTTCTGATAAGCTCCTGCAATATCTAGTCATTAAGGACCATGCAAGACAGTCCTCCCATGGCTGACAGCCCTGCCATGCTTGTCTGTCTAAAACTATCTGAGCATCACTTCAGATTATAAGAACCTGAGAGAAAGATTCAGCTAAGGAAGAGACCTGCCAAGGTGGGATGGAAGGCTGGGACTTCTTAGAGTGCATTTATGACATCCTGCTTGTTCAGTCTCATCATTGCCACCACCAACAAGGAACAGATATCCTTAAATTTCCCTTGGAAATCAGACCTTATACATCAACAAGAAGAATTCCTAGTGATAATTATGACAGGTTATTTATTTATAAGTTGCATCTAAGCCAGAACAAATAAACTGTGGATACTTACTGATTGTGGACACAAACATGATGCAGAAGCCAGCAAACAGTGGAATCTGGTAGCCTATTCTGGAAAACAAAATTAATATTTACATTTCTGGAATTGTTCCACTGAGGTTTTGAGTTAGACTCACTCACATGAGTTTACACACCACGAAAACCCAAACTGCAGTTCCTTGGTAGGCTTTGAACTATTTATTGTGGACCACATGATCAAACGTGTCCGTGTTACAATTGACTTTTCATCTGGCAGAGCAGACTTTGTATCTGAAATCCCTGGAAGAAATCCTTCTCATTAGAATCTGATTGCCCTGTTCTCGTTCTGCATAATTGTTCCAAATAAAACCCCTCTGGGCCTCCATGAAGTTGCCAAAGATATGCCAAGGGAAGATTTGTCTGAGCATGCTGAACTTTGAAATATCCCAGTCATGTTTCAATGCTCATCTGTTTCCATCCTCATGAGACAATGACTATAATGAGACACAGTCAAGACAATGGCTTTCTTACTGGAAAAATTTGTCATTGGCTTTGCTGGGAGTTCTGCCTCAGCCAGAAGCACTGGAAGAGTCCCAAAGAGCCTGAGAGTAGTATTTTTGCTTTCTATGGGTTTAGGAGTAAAAATGGAGCTGATCAAAGCTTTCTTCATTAGCCTGCTTCTTCATTAGGACTCTAAACAGCCTGTAGAAATGCCTGGCTGCTTTAAGTACTTTCAAGTTTCCAGGAAATAAAGAATTTTCTGGCTAGAAAGCAAACACATTTTTTGAGGAGCTAAAACTGAAATCTCGACCAAATATTTCACAATATATTATTTTTCACACCACTAAACACCTACCCTAGAGTAAAAACTGAGGTAGCTCTGAAGACAGACTGTATATTCTATTCAGCACACTTTGTTCATGACTTCTCTTCTTGTAGGATTGTGCATCTCAAGTGTATGTGCCAAGACATTGTTTAACGGCCAAATTCTTCAACAATGGACAATGCTTTTCAAAGGAGTACTTACAAAGGATTTCAGCTTCCAATGATTTGACAGTATTGGGCATTTATATTGGCAGTATTGGCTGAAATAGGTCAGTCAAATAATGGAAGAGTCTGTAATGGCCTTTTTAACTTTTAATAATAGCAGTCATGACATAGGCAAACCAAAATAATTACTCTGAGCTTTGTTTATTCCTCAATGTTTGTATACAATTAAGGACCTTGGATAATGGAAAACTTTCTGAAGTACAGGGCTCAGTGTTCATTGTCTTATTGTAACATTCGTGTCAGTTCTGTGAGTGAAAGAAATCTAGCATCCACATTTCTACATGCCAAAGAAAACTCTCATGAAGAACAATTTTGCATTCAATATCATCACTACATTAAAATATGACAAAAACCTAGTGCACAGATTCTTCCAGTTGAGATTTGTATCCGGGTGCTGCAAATATCCAGCAGAGACTAGTTACTTGTGTGGTCCTCAATTGGACTGGTATCTCCAAAGCAAACTAAATCCCTATCACAAACTTCCTCTGAGGACTTAGGATAATAATTTTAATCTCTCAGTACCTTGATACATGGTCAAAAAGAGAACAATACTAACTTTTTTTGCCTGCTTTATATAAGGTTAATTATTTTTCTAAGCCTGTCTCTTCCCTTGCTGTGTGTGCAGTAGGTAACACACAATGAGATGCTGGTCTCCACTGATGTCTCCATGTACATGAGGAAATAAAAAATCATTTGTTGCCAACTTTTTGCTTGCCTCAGAGCTGAAGTGAGCACTTCCCTTCCCAGTGGACCCAGGTAGAACAGGCCATGAAGAGTTTGACCATAATTGCTTTTATTTTGAGTTTTTCAATTAAAGAAAGCACCAATAGGAGTGCAGATAAAAAAAAAAACCCAAACCCTGCAGTTATGGATACTCTTTGTACTCTTTGTATGGATACTCATCTTTCTCTGTGGTATGAAAGCAGAAGGTGAATGTCCTTCTGCCTTCTCCCATTGCAAAGTAAAGTAGGATTGTGTTTCAAGGCCATCCCAGAGGTATCTAGGATGGACACTGTAGGGGAGCAGTTTGCTTTCAGTACAGAAGTCAAACAATTCTTAGACTTGACTCAGGGCCTATGAAGTAGCAATTTGCTTCTCCTACAAGAACACTAAATTAAAATTCAGTTATTTGCATGAAGTGAAATGCTACCCAAACTGGCTCCCACATTCTTGTTTCCATTCCTACATCAGAGACATGAGATCTTCCATAAACATTAATGAGTTAAACACAGAGAAGGTGTTATCATACTAGTCCTAAATGATACTCTATCAAGATAAAAGAGATGTCAACTCTTCCAATAGACTTCCTATACTTGGGGAGTTTCTGGTGGTTGAAAGCAGTAAGAAAACAAGTATTTTGGAAGTCACTTTTAATGCTCAGTGAAAACCTGTTCAAGCATTGTTCTTAATTTTTGCAGTCACAGATATTGTTCTTCCTTTACCTTGGACAAAGAGGGTCACAGCAAGGTGTGAAGTGATGCCTAGCAGAGTGCAGTAAGAGCAGAACTCAGGCCTACTCTTGCTGCCCAGCACACCATTTACAGGTCAGAACTGGATGTGCATTTGTGATGAGTTAAGTCATCATAAAATCCTCTGGAAAGCTACAACTGCCTGGAACTTCACCCACATTGTGGAGACACACGATCCTGGAGTGCTGCCCCTGCATGGGATTGCTGAACCTCTAGAAGTCAAGGTTGGTCTTGCTCAGGGGACAGTCTTATCCACATCCAGCTGACATTTAGTTAGCTATGCAGATTGTCCTTTCCTGCATGATCTTAACAAATCTCTTAGCAAACTCTGCCTCCTCCTGAAATAGCAGCACTAATTAGTTGGCAGTTGTGCTACCACAAATGTCTAATCTGCAGCTGCATTCCCTGGTCTGTTCTACAGATATCATAGAGCACAGACAGGGAGTTTTTGCTGAACAATTACATTAAATACATAAATAATCACAAAAAAGAGACACACCACCTGTAACAGCCAACTATTCAGTGATTCTGTCCCTTGGTCCCGGGCCATTCATGTTCCTGAGATGTGAAATCTGGAAATATGCAGTTTCTCCTTCCTGCCCATGACATGGCATAATCCATCACAGTGATATCTACATTTTATTCCTCTGCATGTGTGCAACACAAAAGAATATTACAGCCAGTCTTCTCCTTTTTTTCTTTCTACCATGCTCAAGCATGTAATTTCCTTGAGCACTCCTTTCAAAGCCCTCTAAGGGATTCTGAAGCAGAGTCCAGCATGTTTCACCAAGGCTACCTGCAGCTAAAAACGCTTCCTACAAGTATTTGTGACCTGTGTAAAAGTCTGAGTCACTAGTTGAAGGAGGGAAAGGCTGCCCCTGACAGAAAGTGCCCAAATGAACTCCATTTCAGTCCCACATTGACCCCAGATTGCAGGACTCTTAGGAAGTGATTTATACCCAATAACAAGATTATCCTGCAATAAGGACAACTGATTGGTGGTTCTGTGCAACAGCAAAATAAAGGTTACATTGACCAGGTTAGCAGCTGTGGATTATTAGAGCTTAATTATCCATTACACTGCTGCACATCCACTGATTTTCCACTTTGTTGTTACACAGCTACACATGGACCACTTTAAGCACCCCTTGTTAGGTCTGTCCTGGTTGGCACTTTGGCTAACTTCACTGGCAATGAAGACTGGTGAGGATGTATGGCAAGAAGAAAATGTTCCTTGAGGTTATGAACCAATGACCACTAATTGTGTTTGAAGGTAAGGAAGAACGTGTAGTGTCAACAGGGACCAGGTCTATGATCCATGTGCTTCCCTCTCTCCATGCTCCATGCTGTAGCACAGGGTAAAGAGAAAGATCTGCAGAACTGATCATTACAATTTCCTGCCAAAACCTGAAAGGAAAGCTTACCTAGGAACTGAACTTTTTTGGAGGCCAATATGCATAAGCACAAGGTTAAAACTACATCTTTATTTCAGACTGATAAAAAAAGGGAGAGAGATACACAGCCAAGGAGACACTTTATTTCAGACTGATAAAAAAAGGGAGAGAGATACACAGCCAAGGAGACATTTATTGGCTCTAGTGGACTGTGGGGCTCGCAGCCTCATGAATGAGCTTGGTAAAAGTTTGAAAAAAACCAATGGAGTAAGTAATAGATTCACAGAATGGTTTGGGTTGGAAGGGATGTTAAACAGCATCTAACTTCACCCCCTGCCATGGGCAGGGACACCTTCCACTAGACCAGGAAGCTCAGAGCCCCATCCAACCTGCCCCAGCTTCCAGGGTTGGGTCATCCACAGCTTCTCTGAGCAGCCTGTTCCAGTACACTTAGTTAAATCAGCTAGCTATAAAGGGCACAGGACCCTTTTGCCCACTCTCTACACTGGACAGGATTAGGCAGAGCCTTGAATCTCTCCCTGCCAGTGCAACCTCCTCACAAAATGCCCTTTATCAAGTGCTGTGCTACATTAATATTTTCTTACCAATTTCACTACAAGGAAAAACATACCGTGCACCTGAGTCACAAAATCTTCTCAACTCTGCCCTGAAACTGTGCCACCATGGGAAGTGTGCTGTTGACATTCAGTGGCAAAGCCATCACCAAGTGTTTGCTTTGCTAAGACTTTGTCAGGCCTAGGGGAAGCTGTATTGTTTCAGCAATTGCAGACCAGTTCACTGAGCCAGGTGTGTGTTTTTGTCTGGTGCTCTATGGAAAGAGCTAGGCTTTAAATAAGAAATATTATTTGCACAACGGACTCCTTGAATGAAACCAATTTTGAAATTTGTTTTTGAAAATCTACACTTTCAGTAATTATAAAAGAAGGGGAAAACAGCCCCCAGAACTTCCAGAAAATATTGGCACAGACCCATCCTGTTGCATGCTGTACAAACTCAAGCACTGAAAGCCACTGACTCCATACCCAAATAAAAATCACTTTACACAGTGTGCTACCTACTTGAAAAAGAAACTTTCTGGGCGTCTTATCAAACTGTGCACAGTGATCTTGAACCAAGCAACTGATTCTCCTTAAGCTGTTCTATTTTGCTGATATTTTGTGGAAGTAATAACAACTTGTCAGGAGTAAGGAAGAGTCTTTCTAATGAGAACTCAGATATATTCCAATTTATAACAATCACAATTTTTAGCTGATCATATACTTTGTTATTAGAAATTGTCAAGAGGGGGAGGGTAGCCAATAACTTCTACACCTAATTGATAAATGTGATAACTGATATTTCCCACTAAACATTTCTCAGAAGAAAGGCAGCTACTGGTACCAAGATACAAATAATGCATGAAAGAAAACCAGTGAACCTTAAATCTAATTTAGGACCACTTTGCCATTAAGGCACTCATTTCTGCTGTATGAGAGATGAGTTTGTCACACAGGCCACCAGGATGGCATGCTCTTTATCCTTCTCACACTCCTTGGGCATCTGAGCTTGCAAACCTGCCCCTGTGACTGCAGCCACACACTCTGCCCCAGGCAAACACCTGTGGGATGTTTCCAGGAGGAAACCTCAGCTCACAGCACTAAAGTTCACACTGGTGTGTTAACCCTGTGCCTAACAGCAAAGGAAGATGCCACAAGAGCATCTACTGCTTCACTGCCAAACCTAAGGATGTATCACACGTGTCCCAGAAGTTGGCCCCAGGGGAGAGGTGGTACCACACACCTTCCTCCTGGTTTGGCAGGTTGGGGTAATGATGATGTTAACAGAGAAGAGTAAATATTAATAGGGCAATAATTTTAACCCGTAGAAAAATCTAGCAGCATACCTAAAGACCTGTTATGAAAATATTACTTGATGTTGTATTACTTCACCTGCAGAGGAGCTATGATATCCTCACCAAACAATACAGAAAATCCAGGTAAGAAAAATCTGTTTTCCTCCTCAACTTGAAGCCATTTTTGTGGAAAAGTAATTTTGCAGTGGCATATTTGTATCTGTGTAGGTGATGTGTATTGGAGACAAGGGGAAATGAGAGAGAAATGAAACTGTCTCTCTCATTTAAGGCTTTTGTGTTTAGATCAGTTCCACAGATCAAATACGAGTTTTGAATACACAACAATGTGAGTCCAAAAGCTGCTTACCCCTCAGTGGGATACTCTTTTATCAGATTGAAATAATACAGATTTTATATATATATATATATACATGTATATGCTGTAAAGCCTAAGAAAGGTAGTTTTGGCTTCAAAATCTGAAGCATCTAACATCAGATTGTGTTGGTAATTTTGGGTATTGTTGCATATGATAGGTATTGACTGCTCAAACAAAAGTGTTTTATAAGGACAAGTTTCTGCTGCATATTATTTTCTGAAATAATCCTTCTCTATAGAAACAGCTTAAATAAGAAATAGGAAAATTAGTGACCTGATTTAATACAATTTGGAGTTAATTTCCTACAGAGACTGATTTCATAGTCTGCTGGTGAGGACTGCTGCTGCTTCTGTGAGGAACAGTTACACAAAATGCTAACAATCAAATCAAATTAATTATTAACAGCAAAAGTTAAATGCTATTATAAATACCATTTAATCTTTGTGCAAATATCATCAGTGATTGGATTTGGAAAGGGGGTTGTATGTGATTGATATCGGTGCTTATACTCTGGATCCTGGCTCAAATAAACTTTCTAGAAAGTCCCATTTAAACATATTCCATTCAAGGTGTCACATACATGCAAGAATTTTGAGAGAACAGTTTGAAGGCTGAGCTAGATCATGTACTGATGGAAATGTGTTATCCCCTGAATGTGGCATCAGTAAAGTTTGATACTTGTTCAATTTTCATTGAAGTCCACACGAAATTCCCACCGATTCTTACCTCAGACAACTCCAAATCATCACACACCAAATCACACCAAGAGCTGCACAGCTCAGGGAGAGCAAGGCAGAGATCTGAACCCTGCCTGCAGTCTAATGTAGGTGTCACAGGTGTATCAGCAATTCACAATGCTCTGCAGATACTACACTGTATCTCCTATTACTGTATTGAAGACATTTTAACATCACTTCAGCAAACATTTCTATAAAAACCCAAGGTCTCAGGAGCTGGAGGGAAAGTGTTTGGCTGATGGCAGATGTGCAGCTAAACAATTTATTTTGGAAAGGATGTGTTTAGAAGTGTTCACCAAATGCATTTCACTAAAATACTCCTCCAGGTGAAGTGAGAAGGCCACTAAACCAGGGTCAAAAGAGAATTAAGAACACTCTATTTGAACTACTAGTCTGAACTAAACCATCAATATAGAATACTGACAGTGTAGCAGAAATGACATACCTGTTTGTCAGTGGGCCTATGAAGGGGTTAGTCATTAGCTGCACTGTTGCTTTGGAAGCAAACAGGAGACCAACTCGAACATTCTCATTGAGCAGGTCCTTATCATCCTTCGGGCAGTCAGACGGGGAAGGCGTCACATTCACTATCATCTGCTCTGTCTGGGTAGGATGCAGCTCTCTGGGTCGTGTCTTATCAGATTCATTTCCAGTAACCATTGTCGAATTGTCATAGTAGGAGAAGATGCTCTGAAAATTGTCCATCGTTGCTGAGAGTAGGTTAGGCTTAGTGGTCTGGATTTCTGTAGCATTTTTCTCATGTTCGATGCTGTAAAGGTAACTGGGAATTATTGGCACTGGAAAAACAAATAGAATATATTGGCATCTTACTATCAGGTTATTTGTACATGGAATCACCACTATTTTTTTTTGCTTGCTTTGCCATTGACTAGGAAAGACAAAACTTTCCCACAGAGCACATTAGTAAGTATTTTGAATGGTAGAAAGAGAACAGAAAGAGAAGTTTGACCAGGGGTAAAAACACACCCGTAACTGAGAAGTGGAGTTTAGAATAAGAAGTTCTTTTACATTAGTCTTCATTTTTTGCCATTTATCATAAAGATGTTCTATACAGACATCATTAGTAAAAATACAAGAAGTATCAAAACCCTTATCTGGAGTTTTTGTTGCACATGACTGCACAAATCCTTTTATAAGATTGTGAAGACATGAATAATGAGAAGAAAATTGGAACTACCCTTAAACCAAAATATAAATATCTAATAAAATACATGTCTAAAATAAACCACAAAAATACTGATAAGAAGGAAAATAACATAACACTCCTATATTAAGCAATCAGAACTAATGTGTTGATATTTGCATAGCTCATTATTTTTAAAAAAACCTACATTGAAAAGATCACCCAGAAGGAACCTTCTTTATAGGCTTTAGGATCTTAGCTGCAATTTCATTGCATTAATATGCATCTCAGAAATTAGCATTTCAGATGGAAAAACGGATGTCAGGTTCATTTATTTTAGCACTAGTGACAGAATCACCCCTTCCCATCCTGCATCTCTGTCTGGAAAAACCCACCCTCCCAGTAAGTGTGCAAACTGTGATAATTTCTAGGGCTCCCAGCATACATATATTACTAAACAAGCAATTAAATATAAATAATTGTATAAGTATATTAATGTAGAAAAAATTACAACATCAAGCTGGTAAAAATAGATGTGTTTTTAGCTTTTTAGCTGAAGTCCCTCAAGAAATCCAGGAGTGTGGTTCAGAGGCTGACTGCAGCATCACCTGAGATCTGGCTCTGCACAGACTAAGGCACTTACAAGAGCATTATGTGCATTCATGTATATATATATATATGTGTGTGTGTGTTTGCCTCCAAGAGCCACTAGTTACTCTGAACCCTTTTCTTAAAATTCATATAACCATTTGAATATGAGAACTTCTACAACTTCCATTGAAAAAATGTTCTATTGTTTTATTTGAGTAGATTCCTGAATCTTGACACTATGTCACGGAAGCTGTTAAAAGTTGCATCTTTCACTTTGATCCAAACTTGGATTATTTTATGAAACTAACCCATAGAAGTGCTTCTCTTGAAACCCAGTTAGATAGTTTTCTCATTAGCCTATCATTTTAAGACCCATGTGGGGGAAAGAGGAACTATCACAAGGAAACAGGCACCTCCAATGCTATCTAGTCTGTTGTTTCAGTTGCATGACCACAGGAGAAAAAACCGATGTTGAGCTAAAAATACTATTATCTGTCGTTCTGTGAAGTATTAGTGGTATTTAGTAGAAAAGAAAAAATAAGAGAGTTACGAAGACCTTTATATCCCATTCTTTTTCTCGCAATTTACATAGAAATAAAGCAAGACTTCGATGCCAACGGCACTGCGTTTGCAATGCCGAGAATAGAATCTGTGTTTAAAAAAAAAACCCCAAAACAATCAGTGAAAATGGTGTGCTCGGAGAGCATTAATTCATTCAGGGAGTACATCTGCCCCCGCAGATTCGGGAAAGCAAGAGAAACCCAACCCCATCCTACCTACCGACCACGGTGAGCAGCATGTTGTCCAGCAGCAGCGCGATGAAGACGATGAGCAGGATGAGTTTGCGGGACTGGCGGCTCTCCCGCAGCCAGCGCAGCAC